AAGCGATTATCTGTTGTGCCAAATAAATTGTGTACAGCATATATCCTGCGGCACTTTACACCTCCGGGCTCATTATTCCCTAACTGTTTCCTCCTGTTTATGCGCTCTCAAATTAAATTGCTGATAACATGCACCAAAATAAAAAATGAGCCCACCTTGTCCCAAGAAAATTGATTCTCCCTTTTCCTGAACCGGCGATTGCCAGGTTTTATATACTCTGTTCCTGGTGATCATTAGTAATTCAATTTTCTTTTTATTAGCCCCCTTATCTGCTGAGCAATATAGCGGCAGAGCTGACCTCTTTCGCGCGGGTAAATGTTTAAAATCTTTTCCCTGATTAATTTTGCCAGTTAAGAAAAAGAGGAGAAATGGCCCGACTCTTAGCCATCACAATGAATAAAGCTTAATGTTGATTGTGATGGAATTTCTAATGCCAGGGAAATTGATTGAGCGCGGCAATTACACAGGAACAGGAACTCCAGGGAGATGGGGCCGCTCTCTCCTGGCCACAGCCTTCTGGTTATTTAAAACAATCCAATTTGCAAGGATAATTATGTATTAGTGTTTTATCTGCCACTTGAAATGAACAGGGGAGTTTCGATACTGGCCTAGCATTAGCAGGTTATTGCCGCAAATTACTTGATATCTGCTTTCTTTCACATAAAGAGGAAATTAGGCAATCAATTACCAGAAAGAGGTGGACTGAGGGATAAGAGGGGCGAGTGCGCCCTCTGCTGGCCACTGGCGGCCCGGCGGGGCTGGGGAAGGGACCTGCCCCTCGCCCTGCCTCCCTCCACCGGGCAGGAGCCCACCGGGGGTCAGGCCCCTCCCCTACACAGCTTCCACGAAAGTCTGGACCTGGGCCAATGATCTGTCGGGGGAAACGGGGAAGAGAAGCTTCGAAGCAGCCTGTTCCCCTGTAGGGAGGCACTGCCAGCCGGCCTGGAGCCCCGGAGCCCAGGGTCTGCACCCCAAATGTCCACAGCATCAAATGAAAACTTGTGTGGGAGGCAGCCGACAGCTGGCTGGGGCCTGCCCGGGAGGCTCTAGCCCGGAGCCTGGGGACAGGAAGGTGGAGCAGGGAAAGGAGGGAGAAGGAGGGAGAAGGAAGCCTGTGGACCTTGCAGAAGGAGGTGCATGGGGGAGCCACCCACTGACTCCTTAGTAGTCCTCAGCCCAGGGAAATGCTTGTCCTCACTCCTGTCCCCACCAAAGCCGCCTCTGCCAGTCTCAGGAGCCGCCTGCCCAGTGTTTCAGGCCTGTGCACAAGCCTCTTCCACGAGCTCCTTGCCCATTTCTAAGAATGAGGACCCCACTCCTTGGCCCGGCATTCAAGACCTTTCCGAAGGCTCCTCCTGGCTCACTGCCCCCTCGAGGCCTGCTGGACACTCCTGGGCCCCTGACACAGCCACATCCCTGAGCACATTCATGCAGCTCCCAGGTGCCTCCTCTCCTGTATCCAGAACCACCCCCTTCCCCTTACTGTGGCCTACGGGACCCTCCCATCATGTGGGTCCTGCCTTCCCTCTGGCTTCAGTACCCCCCCCCCACGCCCGCCACACAGGACCTCTCTCTGCTCCTGCAACATGGGAGAGCTCATCCCACCTGTGCCCGTCACCCGCAGAGAGGCGCACCGTTCACACCTCCTTGTCCTCATGCAGGCCTCAGTTTGGAGGTCACCTCCTCAGAGACGCCAGCTGCCTGACTACAGCTGCCCGCCCTCCCCGCAGCTCTCTGTGACCCCACTTCCTTTTCCTCTGAGCATGTTTACCACCCGAGAGTATCTTTTCAGCTTATTTACAAGTACCCAGGTAGCTGTCTTGACGACTGCAATGTGGCTCCGGCCTGCACAGTACCCACGGGACCAGCACACTTCCCTGCACCAGAGCTACGCCATGCCTGCTTGCTGGACGGATGGGGGGGGCGGATGGGGGACAAATGGTGGACAGAGAACAAATGAATGGGGGACGGACGGGGGATGGGCGGAGGACAGACAAGGGCAGAACAGATGGGGGAATGGATACGTGGATAAACAGGTGGACAGATGTATGATGAATGGTGCATGGAGGGTAAACGGACGGATGGACGGATGGACGGATGGATGGATGGATGGAGGATGGATGGATGGAGGGGATGGGTAAGTGGATGAGTGAGTGGTAGCCTTCTGTAAGCCCTTCCCCCAGCAGGACTCTCCCCCACCTTTCACAGTCCTCCCAGGGCAGTCTGTGCCAAGTTACCACAACCGTTTATAACCACAAACTGACCCGCTCACCTCCTAGTAGGGAAGTATGAAGGCAGGGGCCGTGTCAGCCCCTCCGCACTGGCGCCCGCACTGCGCCCACGCTACCAGCAGGAGGCAGCCTCCACACCCCAGCCTGTGCCTGGCACTGCTCCAGGCCTAACGAGAGAACCAGCCAGCCCAGCACACAAGCAAGCGGGCCGAGCCTGCAGGCACAGCTCCAGGGCGGATGCACACCACCTTCCAGGCCCCCTTTAATCTGCAGACCCAGCGTCTCCGCTGGCCCCTCAACCCTCCAGGCTGCTGTCCGCTGGCGGCCAGTGAGTGTCCTAGAACGCCTGGCCTGCGTCACTATGGGAGGAGGCCAGCCCCCGTGTGGCCAGGGCCCTGCTCCCCGCAGTGGCCCCTCAGCCAGCCAGCAGCCCCTGTAGGAAGCCGGGCCTTGAGCAGCCCCCACTCCAGCCCCGGCCGCGCCAGGGACCTCCTGCTGAGAGCAGCTGCAAAAGCTCAGCTGTGTGTGCAGGGTCCCGGGTGTTGTCCACCTCTTGCCCCATCTGGAGAGGATTCCTCAGCTGCAGGCCCTCAGCACACAAGACAGGAGGAGCTCCTCAACCCAGTGGCGCTCTTTCCTTCGGGGTGCCTGCTAAAGGGGACGGCCATGGTCTGGCTCAGGCCTGTCTGCCCCCAAACCAGGTTCCCTGGGAGCAGGGACAGGACAGGCCCGGCCAGGCCACAGTCAAGGCCAGCTCTGCTCAACTCCTGGAGGGCGGCAACACCAAGAGCATGGACCGAAGAGGTCAAAGTGTGCCCACCTGGGACGCCCCACCAACCCCTCAGTGCCACCCCAGCATTAGGACAAGGAGCCCCTGGCAGGGCCCCATCTGCTGTAACCCTGTCCCGCGCAATGCCTAGCTCGGCACTTGCTCCACGAGCACTTGCTTCCAGGCCCAGCGAGGAGGCCTGACACCCAGCAGCGGCCCAGCGGCGGCCCAGCGAGGAGGCCTGACGCCCAGCACAGCCCAGCGAGGAGGCCTGATGCCCAGCACGGCCCAGCGAGGAGGCCTGACGCCCAGCGGCGGCCCAGGAATCCGGCACTCCAGAGCGCTCTGGTCCCAGGGCAAGCAGCCTCGGACTGGGACACTCCTTCCCCAAGCCACCTCACACCACAACCCTGTAACTCAAGTCACTGAAATACCGCCATCTTGAGGCCCCTGGCCCGGCCACCCCGTCTCCCTTTGCCCCGAGCCACTCTCCCTGTGGCAAATCACGATGGAAATGGCTCAGTGCCCTGTGGGCTAGGCTGCAGGTCTCAGGAGAGCCTCGTGCCTTCTGCAGCCCCAGCACCTGGAGCAGGATGCAAAGGGGCCCGTGGACACACCCCCCGCCGCAGCCAAGCCTGAGCGCCGTCACTGCCCACAAGTGGCCGTCCCCGTGTGACGGCTCTTCTGCGGGGACAGACCTCCGTCAGCACCTTCTCCTCCACTCAGCCAGACCTCTCTGCCGACCGAGACAACATGTGACACAGGAGCTGAGCGGAGCCATGAATCCCCGCGAAGGCCCGGAGGCCCCCGGGCACCACTTCCTGACCTCCCTCCGGGCTGCCCCAACCTCCCTGGGGACTCAGCCACCCCCTGCCAGCCTCCCAAAGCGAGGGGCGTTCGCAATCCGTCCTCCCTGTCCTCCCCCGTCAGGCCTGGGACAGCCTGGCCATCGGTCCATCCACAGCCTTCTGTCCGCTCCCAGTCAGTCCTGCAGCCGTAGCCCAAGCCTCAATCCAGCCCCCTCGCTGTGGCCACCAGGGGACACCGTGGGGCTCCCTTTGCTCTGTCCACCTGCGTCCAGGTCCACCGTGGAGCCAGAGGGCAGGTGGGTGGCCAGCACCCTCCAGCCTCACTTCTCACACCTTCTCGTGGCCCCTACGCCCCGCTCTCCCGCCACCAGCTCCCATGCAGGCGCTCGGCTCTGCCAGGCACCGCCGCCTCCCGGGCAAAGCCCTGCTGGCCCCTCTGTGGGCTCCCCAAACGCCCGGCACGAAATAGCCACTAGGGCACAAGTCCCAAGTCCGACTGCCCAGGGCCCAAACCCCGTCACCTCCAGACTCCACGTGCACCAGCCTGGACAGCCATTGCCACGCACCCACCAGATGCTCAACGGGGAGAAAACAGGGCTACCACGGGACCCGGTCCGCCCGGAGGAGCCCGGGCCCGCCAGGACACAGCGTCACAGGTGACCTCCTCCCCCTTCCCTGCCCCCGACGGCCAGAGGCCCCCCCACCCCTGACCACCGGCGTGCGCCAGTTCCCTCAGCCTGCTGCCATCACCGCACCGGGCGGGGGACCACGGCGCGTGACGCCCCCTACCCTTCACCCCCCGCTAAACACTTGCGACGCAGGAAGCGCGCAACGCGGACTCCTCCCAGGCCAGCTCAGGGTTCCGGAGGCAGAGGCAGCAACCGACAGGGGGAGGAGGACAGGCCTGCGGCCTTACCGGCCTGTCGGCCCAGGACAGGCGGCAGAGGCCTAGGGCAGGGGAGCCCCGGGCAGCATAAACCACCCCTCCTCTCCCTGCAGGCCTGCGTGGCTCCCACCCTCTCATCCACTTGCTGGCTCCTTCCGCCACGACGGATGTGACTAGGTCTACAGCAGAGATGCACTAAAAAGGCCACCACACACCTGCCCAGCGGCATCTCCCCCACCCAGGTGCGGGGTACAGTGGCCCAGCCCTTCTCCTCTGCTCTCCAGCCCAAGCCACCCCCTGCCCACCGGGCGGAGCGTTCTCGGGCTGGAGCGCTGACAGAGCAAGGTGGATGCTGAAGGTGGTTCCTGATAGGCGAGCAGCGCCAGTGCAGACGGAGGGAGAGGTGAGGCTCACAGACCTGGCTCAGCGAGCTTTCCAGAACCCCTCCTCCTGGCCATACCTTCCTTGGTGGGGAGGTGGGCCCGGCCTGGAGGCAGGCAGCACAGTCGGTGCCTGGTGACCTGCATCAGGCCCTTGTTGGGCGTCTTCTTCGGAATGGGGCTGCTCTTTCCCCGGAGGGCCTGCCTCCGCCGCAGGCTGAACTGGCTCTTAGGAGTGGCAGCAGGTGGGGGGCTGCTCTTCTTGTCCCCAGGAAGGCTGCAGAGACAAAAAGCAGGCAGCTCCCAATGGGCTCCCCCAGTGGGGCGGCTGTCCCCTTCCACCCTCGCCCACCCAGACCCCGGCACCATGGAATCCACCCCAGGAGGCAGCCAGCTCCAGCGGGTCCCAGCCTTCGCACCTAATCAGCAGCGGCTGTCTGAGAGCTGCCACCCTCCCCTCCCCTGCAGAGCCTGGAGCCGGCTCAGAGGGAGGGTGGCCCCACCCCTTGACCCCCCACCTGGTGCATCTGCACCAGGTCTCCTCCGGCTCCCCAGGCCAGAAGAACTCTCCCGTGGGGCTGGGGGAGGCCCTAAGGAGCCACAGCAGAGAAGGGGCTGCCCCCCACCTCCCCAGCCATCTCGGCAGGAGGGACTACTTCTCACGGCTCCCCTTTCCACAACAGCTGACACAGAGAAGGGCCACTGTACAGAAAAGGCGGCAGAGCACACATAACGTGGCCAAAGACCAAGGTCAGGCAGCAGGAAGGACCTCCAGAGCGGGACTCAGCGTGAGAACAGCTCTCTGCCCTTGCAGTTAACAGCTGCCGTGACTAAGCCCCTGACCCCAGACCAAGCCCCGAGCCTCAGTGCCATTTTTTAGCCTCCTCACAGTCCTTGAGGGTGGAGGGCCAGGGAAGTGACATCTACTCAGTGAGACAGTGACTCGCCTGGTCACTTGGCCGCCAAGGGGGCAGACTTCCTCCCTGGTGCCCCCTCGGTTTGCTCACCCAATGTCTGGCCCGGGAATAAAGCAATCATCCACAAACCCCGCAGACCCCGAACCAAAGCTGCCCCAGCAGCCTCTGGTCTCTCACCAGCAGGACAGAGGGGCGGCTGGTCGGCACCTGCCTCCCCCTGTCCTCACTGGCCGAGCCCCCATTGCTCAGCTATACGGGAGAGCAGTAAGCCCAGCCCCACTGGCACTGGGCACATGAATGCCACCACCCAGGCCTGACCCAGCAGCAGATGCTGCTGCTTCTCCTCCCACACTCCTGCAGGTGGGCCCTCCCACGGGCTCTGTGTACCAAGCAGGGAGCTTAGAGGCCTGGGCCTGCCCAGACAGAACCCTGGGGTGGTGGCAGGGGCACCTACCTAGCACTTCCCCGCCTCCGGATGATCTTGGTGCGGCTCTTCACTTTGTAAGCCGAGAGTGGGGTCTCGCTGAAGAGGGGCTTCAAACTGCTGGGTCCCACTGCTGGTCTGTCCCCTGAGGGGGACCGAGATGGGACGGGAGAGAGCTGGGAGGCGTGGTCCTTGCTACCAGCTTCTGACTGCCAACGGAAGGAGGAGAATGAGGAGGCCGAGGGGCTGGATGCTTTCCACTTGTACTTGCTGGGGGAGGCCCCAGCCGTGGAGGACGCAGCCGACCTCCTGGGCTTGGCATCCGGATCAGCTCTGAGCTGTGGCTTCTCCACTTGTTCTGCTGTGCCAAAGGGGGCCTTGCCCACATTCTCTGAGGCTGCTCGGGGACTGAGGGCCCTCCGAGTGGCCCGGGGGCTCTTCGCTGAAGCGGCCACCCACTTGTAGTTGTTTTTCCGGAACCTGTTGGTCCGACAGGACACAAGCAGTGAGGACTCTCGGGCCTGCCTGGGTCCAGAAGCTGGTCTAGCTGGGCCGGCCACCACACCAGCGGAAGCTGGCTGATCTGTGTGGCCAGCATTCACTCTCCCATCTCCGAGGAGATGTGCGACACAGCTGGCCACAGAGTGTGAGCCCACCTTCCGGCCCACAGCCACGCCACTGCGCTGGGGCAGGGTGGACGCTGCGAAGCGTGCCTTGACAGCAACTGCACTCTCACTGACAGTCCGCCGGGGCTCTGAGGGGCTGTCACTCATGCTGCTCACGGACTTCACTACCCGAGGCTTGCCAGGCTCCTTCTGGCAGACCAGAAGGGAGTCCTCTGCACCACAGCTCCCCTTGACTCTTCCTGGCTTTGGGGGTTGCCGCTGTCCCCCCGGGGGCTCGCCCTCACCCTCCTGAGGCCTGTGGTCGCTCCCGGGGGGGTCCTCAAATTCTTCCAAGGAGCCCCGAGGGACCCCTGCAGCACTAGCCGAACCCGGTTTTGATGGTGGTTTGATTTTGATGACCATGTTCTGATCTGAACTAAGCTGCACCTGCCTCTCCAGGACATGCTGCTGGGGGTCAGGACCCTGGCTGCCCCCAGCCCTGAGGGGCAGCTGCACAGCACAGTCACCGGCTGGGTCTGAGGGTCCCGGGGGCCGATTCACAAGGGAGTATTTCTTGCGCCACGCAGGCCCGTGGTTCGGGGAGAAGCCCCTCCGGCTTGGGCGAGGGTAGCAGGCACTGAAGGCCCTGCTGCTGTTGTAAGCAGGTGGCTGCCACCGGGAAGCAGCTGAGGTGCGGGGGGCAGAGCCATTGCCATGGAGGTTTTTGTAGTCATCGATCAGACCTGAGAAGGCAGAATCACAGGCTCAGTTAGCCAGAGGGTGAGCGTGAAATCAGCAACAGTCCCCTGCAAGTGCATCAGCTGACAAGATGCCCCACAGACCCCACCTCACTCCTGAGCCCCTGCCAGGCCGCAGCACAGGACAGGCAGCCCCTAGAGCCTGAGAGCCACGGACGTTCCCTCGGCCCATCTCCTCCATGAGCCTTTTCCCACCAGTTATAGTTCAGTCCTACTTCTGGTTGTTCATCCCAAAAATGCACCCGTGGCAAGGTATCTCTAATTTACCAGGAATATTATTATACTGCTTCCACACTCCTTTGAGGGCACACGTCACTCAACATGAAGATACCAGCAAGGACTCTGAGGCTCACCAACAGGACAGGGGGCGGCTTGTCGGCACCTGCCTCCACCTGTCCTCACTGGCCGAGCCCCCATTGCTCAGCTATGCGGGAGAGCAGTAAGCCCAGCCCCACTGGCACTGGGCACATGAATGCCACCACCCAGGCCGTAACGCCTCGGCGAGGGAGCCACTCAGCCGCAGAGGCCCTCTGGCTTGCCCACCGGTGGAACCGGGCCAGGGGTGCACCTTAGTAATCTCCCCGCCTGGCACACGGGACAATGAGCATAAGCCAACGGACACCTGTGAGCATCCACGGCTGACAAGAACGTCACACTGTCCTCCTCTAAGGGGAGAAGAGGCCTGACTGGAGCCCCGACAGCGCGGGTCTTCCAAGGAAGCCCCTGCATGGTCCTCCCGGTGCAGGAGGGGTAGGGGCCTCAGCGGAACAACCCAGGGCGTGAGCACTCAGCCAGCAAACCAGTGCTGGCCCCTCACTTACACGCTCCCCCCTCAGAGTCCTGTCCCCAGGCCCAAAGAAAGCCATGTCCTGACCCGCTGACACCCCAGCGCACGCACGAGCCCAACAAGCCTCCTCACAGGCTGGCCCGCCGGCCTGGACTCTCCCCCACACACGCTTTCCAATTCCTCAAGTCTTCTCTTTAAGGGAATAACTTCAAACGGGAAAATTTTTAAGTACAGAGACCTCAAGTAGGGTCTAAAAATGGAAAAGTTGGGAAACTAGGCCTGGGGAGTCGGGGCCTGGAATACCAGGGGGAATGTGGGTGTAGGGCGGGCAGCAGCCAAACGAGGCTCCAGGGGTTCTGCCACGCCGCGCCACGGACTAGCCCTCCGCCCCGCTGTCTGGCACCGGGAGCGAGAGGGCGCCGAGGGAGTGCCCGCCCATGGCGGGGCGGGGGGCGCCTCCCGGCGGTTACTAAGCGACGGCCCCGCCGCCACCCGCCGCAGCGCCTGAAGGAGCCGCACTACCCGTCTGGCGAAACCCGGGCAAGGGGCTGACCCCGACCGGCCCGGATGCCCCTCCAGGGCCGCCCAACCCCCTCCCCACCCGACCCGACCTGGCCGTCGAGACCGCAGGCGGAGAGCGACCCCCTTCGGGGAGGCGGGCAGGGGCCCGCCGTGAGGTCAGGGTAGAGAGAGGGACGCGCGCCCGGGGCCCGGCCCGACCCACCCTGCAGGAGACGGATCTGTCGCCGTAATTGCTCCTTTTCCTCCATCTCCCGAGTCCGCGACGCCCGGCCAGGCCCCCGCGACGTCATCGCCGCGCGAC